CAATAACATGATGAAGATTTGACTAATATCCGAGAAACTTACGAGGATTTGCTTGGCAAAGAAGAAGGCTTGAGTTGGGTTACCACCTCCGCAGATGATAGACCAGAACAAGCCGTAGAGCATTAGTTTCCATTCCTCCTTGTTAAACGACGCAATCAGCTTAATCAGAGTCCATAATGAGTACTGTTTCCTTTCCTCGGGCTTGCGACCTTGAAGAGCCCTGCTGGATGCGGATCCCTGGGTTGTCGATCGGTTCAGTTTATCGCGGATGTTGTCATCGGGGTCCTCGACGTAAGCATCGCCCACTTTGGAAGCCGTACGAATGAGACTCTCCTCCTTAGCGTCAATTGCCTCTTGCTCTTCCGCGGTTAGATCATTTACAACAGCGATGTTCTGTGCGTTGACAAGCTTTGCATATGCGCCGTTAAGTTCCAAAAGCTCGTCATGTGTTCCCTGCTCGACAATAGTTCCTTGCGACATGCATACAATGTTGTGGGCATCCCTGATGGTAGAAAGACGATGAGCAATGGTAATGGTGGTTCGACCCGCCGCAGCAGCCTCTAACGCAGCCTGCACGACGCCTTCTGACTTGGTATCTAACGCGCTTGTCGCCTCGTCGAGTAGAAGAACTGGAATTAAAGTTAGATAAAATTACGTGTTTCCTAGCGCGCTATGACTTACTCTTAGGGTCCGAAACAACGGCTCTGGCGATAGCAATACGTTGCTTCTGACCGCCGGACAGTAAGAACCCACGCTCGCCAACGTTTGTTTCGTATCCTTCCGGTAAAGACGTGATGAAATCGTGAGCATTAGCCTTCTTGGCTGCTTCAAAAACCATCTCTCTCTGTTTTTCTTCGCTGTCATTTTCGTGCCTGGTGCCGATGAGACCATGTTTGATGTTTTGATAAATCGTAGTACCGAATAGGGTAGGTTCCTGGCTGACTAGAGACATCTGTTGGCGTAACCATCGGAGATTCAATGTGCTAATATCGTGTCCATCTAGCAATACTCTGCCCGCCACGGGATCGTAAAATCGTTCCACAAGTCCAACGATAGTACTCTTTCCGGACCCAGAAGTTCCGACCAATGCTGTCGTCTTACCCGCCGGGATCTCCAGTGTTACATCCTTCATAACAACAACCTCAGGCCTCGACGGATATATGTGCTTGATATTCTCCAGACGGATTGTACCAACAACCTTCTCCAGCTTCTCACCATCCTCGGAAGTGGGGTCTAACGGGGATGCACGATCAATGGTGTTGAAGATCTTGGCTGCAGCCGCAAGTGCGGTACCGAAAGCCTGGAGATTGGGGGCGACGTTACCCAGATTAAAAGCGCCAATGATAATCGACATCATGATAATAAGGACACTCGATAGCGGGATAATACCGTCGACAAGGTATTTGCTGCCCATCCAGAAACTCAGACCGTAGTTCAAGTATATAATCCAGAACATGCCGGCGACCATGCACGCGACCGAGGCCGACTTTCTGAACCCAAAGTATTCGGCTCGGATGAGGTGGGCGTCATATTGCTTCGAGAGGGTGCCCTGGGTACCAAAAGCAATAGCATTGCGAATTGAGCTAATAACCTCCTCGGCGACGCTGCCTCCTGCCGCATACGCCTGGATGGAGTCCTTGGTATACTTGACGACGAAGCGAGATCCAGTTCCCATGACCATAATCAAAGCGAAGAGCGAAGAACATAGAATCAACGTCAATTTCCAGTAGAAGACGAAGCCAATGACGAAGGCGGACACGAATGTTGCCGCTGCCGTCAATGTCAACCCAATCTTCTCGGAAATACCTTCCTGGATCAGATTCGTGTCGGCGGTAATACGAGTAGTAACCTCACCAGCACCGAGCTTGTCGAAAAAACCGATGTTCTGGCGCATGCAGCTCTCCAGGTAGTGCTCGCGAATCTTGGCACTTATGTGTTCTCCGGTATAGATGAAGCCGACGGTTGCAATATAGATGGTTACGAACTCGCCGATGGCCAAGTACACGAAGTACAAGACGAGAGTAGTCATCTCGTCCATGAAAGCGTCGTACGTGACAGTGCCGAGAAAGAACCCCTGGAACGTGTTTTGGAGGTTACCGAAGATGACCGTCATTAGCGGCATAGCGGCGCCGCCCGCGATAGCGCATACAGCGCTGACGGCCATGATTATAAGATCATTCCGAGAAGAGTACCGGTATAAAGTGAGGACGCCGGTCCTTACTTCAGGCGTTATGACTTGCCTCTTGAGGATCTCCGCCTCGTCGGCGGGAAGATGACGAAAAGGATCATCATTGGAATCTTTGGCCGCCTTCACAACTTTCGAATCGGCCTTCTCCAATGCCGCTCCGGATCCAGTAGAATTTCGTCCCTTCTCCGAATCGCGTTGACTAGAGTTGCGACTTGAGGGACCTTCCGCGGCGGCCATCTGAGGTTTCTCCGAGATCTCGTTGGCCATGGCTGCGCTTTGGATGAGATTGGAGAACCGGTGATGTTGAGGGTTCTCGCGCGCCGGACGAGATATATTTACGTCGGGAAGACAAAAGGGGCGGTTCTCGACCGGTAGATCGTTGCTGCGGTGTGCCCAGACCTTGTTTTTTTTTTTTTTTTTTTTTAAAAAAAAAGTTGTCGTTTGCTTAGTTGGGTTTTTAGCGCATTCTAGTTAAAAGATGCGATGTTCGCTTCTTATTTAGATGTTGTACGTATAAACATGACGGGGGTGTATTATAATTTCCCACTGAATGACTCTTAATGATTCACCGCACGGGATTGACATGCGAATTCCGGGGCCGAAACTATCCTTTTTCTACGTAACTTTCGAATGGCAAAAAAGGAATAAGGTACGGATGGTCCGATGGTGCATGCAATGCTAACTTGGGTAGGTGTAGAAGATTCTAATCGATGGGACGGGACAGAATTATACAGGCCGGGCGCGGAATACAAGAATTCCGAGCACAACGTTGACGCTAGACTCGCAACCGGTAACTGTTACGCAGTCAGGCAATACTTGGGGTATGTACCGAGTGGGGTACCGCATGGAGTTAATTCGAAGTTGGGTGCGTGCTATGTACATACTATGTACGGTGCCAGCGTGGGTTCTGGAAACCAGCATACGAAATATACGAAATATGCTACATACCACATCTGCAAAATTTATACCATACCTATGCTCCTGACTGAGATTATTTTGTTAGCTTTATCGATCTGTCCCTTTTAAGCTTTCGATTGATTCATTGTATTATAACTTTCTCTACATACAAACAGTTTACATCTAGTTATGATTTATGCGAAAATTAGTATACCGGACTAAGGAGCTACTATAAAAGGCTAGTGATGCGAAGCTTTGTCGCGTACCTAAGCTAAAGGGGTCGTAAACCGACTATTCGACTTCCTGCTATTATTATTATCTGATCTAATAACGGGATTCGAATATGAAACTAGGTACGTTGAAATTTGGATGGGGCCAACGAAAGATGTCGTGCCTATCATCTCAGAAATCCTGGTTCGAATATAACGGCTCCAGTCCGCCGTTGCATGAGATTTCCATCTTATGTTGGGCTTTTCAATTCCGTATATTACAGGATAGCCGCTAATTGTACACTAGCTACTAGCGGCAGGGCTTTCCAACATCCATCCCAGTGACTTGACTAAACTTTCAAGCTGAAGGTCGACTAACTAGTTGCATAGATCTAATTGATAGCACATCTAGTGTAGGTATGCGATCCGGGATGACAAGTATTTGAAAAGGCATATCATTAAATAAGATGTGCATATTTAAGATCTTGCACAAAAAGTTACTATACCTACCTAAAGCAGCTGTATTATCGGCTGTAGATACCAATTGCATTGCCGGCAGAGTCATACCGAAGAGTCACACCGTTCGTTGATAGTGCCTACGATCTCCTGCAATACTATGATGATATGACTATTACGACTGCTTACTTGTACTGCACCCGCATGAGCAAGAATAAGATACGCCACTAGCCAACGAGTCCGCTTTTTCCTTTACACTAGAAAGCGAGGATCGATAACCTATAAGAATATCAGATGGCCAAGATGATCTCGGTTCAGCAAAAAAAAAATTATGCTCGGAGCTCGGATTTCTAAGGAATCCCGGTACCCGATCATGTAGTACATAATACTGACTTCGGTACCTAGTTTAGAGGCATTTTGCGCATGCGACTAGTGGACGATTAGGTGCGCTTTGGATTCGCTTTGGCGGTCTAGAAGCTTATTTATTATTAAAGACGGCTGCCCGGGCCCGCAGCTAGTATATATACACCGAGATAAGAAGGGACTCCTCGCTTCCTTGATCTCGTTAGTCTTCCCATCTCATCATACATAAATACCAACCAACCAAGCCGTATGATGTATCCGATCGTATTCCTCTTGTGGATCATCGCCGAGATGCGCCGAATATATAACACAAGGGACAGAAGCTTGCGTTGCTAGGACCCATACAGCCCATAGCCATGTGTCGTAAGCGAGCCTGGGACGCTTTATGCCATCGGCGTCGGCACACCCAGAGTCCGGATTCCATTACATAGAGATTTTCATGATTCGAGGACTTACCGACGATATTCCTCCATGAGACAAATACATAACGCGTCACGTAATTAATAACATGACGAACCGGACTTTCTTTATGCATTATTCTATTGAGGCAAGAAAGCAAACCGAAAACGTGACAAGAGACGGTTGGCACACGAGATATGGAACCAATTGACTCTGAACGGGCGTCAGGCCGCTTTAAGTTGAATGTTTAATAAACAAAAAAGGTTATGTAACTCGTAGAGTTGCATGTAGTGCGGCTGAAGATTTAATAGTCGTTAGGCTACCCGAGGCAAGTAACACGAGACGACATGGAACTACCTAGAAATACATGTATCATCTATAGCATTATTAGGTATGTATGTGCATTAGGTAAGTATAACATTATGAACGCCTAATATTGCCCCAAGCGCCCCGCTTCCGTCATTTCAGCCTTGCAAACCAACACCAACATCGAATACCTAACACTAAAATGAGTTGATATTGAGCGGCCAGGTGTCCTTTCGAGTTGATCGACGAATACACCTAACGATAAAAAGATAGCCTTTGTCAAGGATCAATAATCAGCCACTTTGAGATTTTTCTAGTTTCACGGTGAAACATACAGCTTCTATTACCTGATCGAAATACCCATGGTCTGAGTTCAAACGGGTAATTCCACCCCATGCAACCTCGTCATCGAATCGGTATCTCCAGCTAGCTGCTTCGGTCATAATTCAATATTAAATATATGAATTAAATCGTCATATTCATACACACACACGCATACATATCGACCAGCCAGCTAGCCAGCTAGCCAGCCACAATGCATCTCACCCCTTCCCTCCCCCCATCCCTCCTCCTCCTCCTCTGGACCTCTCTATCCCTCCACCCCCCCGCCGCCGCCGCAGCCAAGCCCCAAAACGCCATCCTCCTCTCAGACGTGCAATCCCTCACGCTCCGCGGCGCCGGCGCCCAGACCAAACACAGGCGCGTGTCCGCCATCCCGCAGCTACGCTGCGTCTCGTCCCCGCCCATATGCCGTCTACACGAGATCGACGTGATGCGCTGCGCGAACCAGGGCTCCGGCTACGACGCCCAAGACATCCAATGGTCGTGCACGGCCTCGCTGCCGCCCGAGCTCAAGCTCGGCAGCACCGACGTCGTCTGCGAGGGGTACTCGTCTCCCGACGACCCGTATGTGTTAAAGGGAAGCTGCGGCGTCGAATACCGGTTGCTTCTGACCGAGACCGGCGAGGCCAAGTTTCCGGATATCGCCAAGACGGGAGCAGCGGAGAAGAAGACGACGTCGGAGAAGGTCGCTGCTGCCCTGTTTGGCGTCGTGTTTGCCCTTGTCTGTATGGTTATAATTTATTCCGCTTGCGTGAACGCTAGGAATGCTCCCAATGCGCCGCGGAGACCGAGGGATAACCGTTGGGGAGGCGGATTTGATCCTGGCTTCGGACCCGGCGGGGGTGGTGACGACTGGAATGACCCGCCGCCGCCTTATCCGGGGCCTAAGTATTCTTCTACGACAGGGAACCAAGGATGGCGGCCTGGGTTCTGGACCGGTGCTGCAACTGGGGCTGCAGCAGGATATGCGGCTGGCAGTCGACGGCCTGGACAGGATAGACACAGTTCTAGTTACGAGTCAAGGGCAGGTCCATCTAGCTCGTCGTCACAGTCGACATCCTCGGCTAGATATGAAGGTACAGGATTTGGTTCAACAAGCCGAAGGTAGTAGACGAAGGACGCGACCAGTCACAAGATCATATATCAGATAGGGGCTTTACTCATTATCAAGTAACTTATTAAGTCTTCTATTTGCTTGCACTCGCTATCCTGTGCTGTAGCTCGTCACGAAACGTGAGAGGTGAAGCTATTCACTCGATGAGCCACCAACCCCTTGTGCAGACGCAAACTAAAGCCTCATCTTTCATTGGCAAAACAGGTTGGGTTCGAATCCTCGAAACACCTAATAAACCTCTGCGGAACTGAAACCGAGACTGCTCTCTTCAGCTCTCTCAAGGCAGAACTCACGTCTGCAAATAATAGTAGTATGTACATCAACTCTTACACGTAACAACGCCGTTTCCTCTTAATGATACTTTACAATGCGCCCCCGTTCATGGTCCCGGAGCTTCCACCAGCTTCTACTATAGGTGGACGGTCATCGCGTCTGACTTGTCGAAGGCTTTACTACATGCGGGGCACTTTCGCATTCGGTTAGAGATTCTATCGTCAATGCATCCTCTGCAAAAAATGTGTCCGCAAGTTCGTAAAACTGTGTTCTTGAAATCCTTTTTGCAGATTGAACACGTTGCCATGCTCTGGTGAAATCGTTAGAAACCGGAGATACGTTTGATCATAGGACATTGTACTCACTCTTAGCATTTCCTCTTCCTCTGAAGAGTTACTCAAGCACTTGACCTTCCACTTGTCGCGATCCTTCGATACAGACTCGAGGCGCACCTTCAGCTTCTCTACGTCGGATTCCAAAGTGGCAGCTCGCTCTTTAGCGACCGCAGTAGTTGAGTCTTTTGACTTTGCCAAATTCGCCAGCTCGGTAACTTGCTGCTTCAGTGCGTCGAAGCGTCGCGACATCTCGGTGCTCGACGTCTCAAGCTTCCTATTTTCGGCCATGACCGAAGCATTCGTCTGCTTCAGATCGGCAAGTTGTTTATCTAGGTTCGTTACGAGTGTTCGGTTATGGGCCTCTACCTCTTTCAGTTGCGAGATGATTTCCGTACTCTTGCCGTTCTGGGTGCGTAGCTTCTGGATCGCTTCGAACTTCAGGTCGCCATCCTTTCGCGCCGTGAAGTACTTTTGATCCGCTTTACTCTTCTCAGCGATAGCCAAAGCTACCCGCTCTTCCATAGCCGCTTGATCCATAACCTTTTTATGAGCAAGAGCCTGGAACTTTTTAACTGCGTGCGTCATGCCTGGTAACTCGCTCTCGATCGAATTATAGTCCTTCAATAGCTTCTTGTACTTCTCTCGTAGTTCCTCGGGTGAGAGCGCGTCTATTTCCGGCCGTTGTGTCATGTCTACGTCCTCGCTAGGTTGTAGTCTTTGCAATTCCGACTCGAGGGTGGCAATTCGGTCCTCTTCAGCACTAACAAGTTCCTTCATATGCTCCAAGGCCGTTCTATCTTGCTCCTTACTCGCCCTGAGCATCGTAACGTCCGCGTGAAGCTCGTCTCGCGCAGATCTCACTCGTGCGAGGGTGGTGTCTGCTTGCTGAAGCTGATCCTCGAGTTCTGCAATTAGTGCCTGCGCTTCGCTCTCGACCTTTCGGCGGCTAGACTCGCGCTCGGCTTCCAATTTTTCGGCCGCCGCTCTGAGACTCTTGTTATCTGCTTCCAAACTGTTAACCTTGCGGAGAAGATCTTCCATTTGGCTCTTGAACACCTTGAAGACTTCGGTGCGAGAGTAGTCCTCATCGGTTAAGTTCGTTAGCCGGGTCTGTACAGAAGTAAGCTCTTCTTGCAGGCTCTTATTTTGAGCCAACGCGGACTCTAGCTGCTCCTTTTGCCGCTCTGCAACAGCTTTGGCTTCGCGGAGGGCTAACTGCAATGCCTCGCTGTTCGTACTACTCTCATCGGAAGACACACCATTCTCTTGGTCCACACCCACGGGTCGAGTTGACACATGATTTAATGCCTGCTGCTCAAGCTTCTGTACCTGGGCACTTTTAGCCCGGTCGAGCCTTCTCTCCGCCTTCATATATCGGAGTGTCGCGATGTTCAGTTGCTCAGAAAGGCTTTCTTTGTCGGCGGAGAGACGATCGAGTTTAACGAGAAACTCTTTCTGCTGGGATAGGAGCGCATTGAGCTTCTTCTCGAGGTCTGTGATGTCAGGAACTACCTTGCCACGAGTCCCATTAAGACGGCCAAGTATCGCCTCAACCATCTTCTTGATAGTTGAAGTCTTCTCGCTTAAGTGCGACTCGAACTCTTCCAGATCTTTGAATTGGGTATGTGTAGGAAACGGTTGGCCTACATATGGTCTTAGCATCGCGAATTCAGAACATCAAGGTAAAGGAGGGCTTTCTCACTATCAGATCCTTGTTGGAAAGGCACGTTTCCTTCAACTAGCAACTCTATCTCCTGGAGTAACTGTCATTGGGCTTAGTATTTTATTATCAAACTCGCCTTCGATGAATCAGACATACCTGTATCCACCAGTTGTCGACAATTCGGATGTGGTCGTCATGGTGTGCTGATCGCTTCTTGACCTCGCCCAGCTGAGTCTCAAGGGTATTCTTTTCGCGCTTATACTCGAGCATCTGTCGGTAGATAGCATCTTTTTGATAGTCCTAGCCAATCCATATCTGTCAGCGACTCCATTTCCCTTATATGTATCATGTTGGGTGGCGCGAGTATACGTGATGACGAGGCAACTCGGATCAGGTTGCATAATAAGGAGCGAGAGGATATTAGAGCATGGGATGGTGGTAGGATTGAATGCTGATGACAGCAGAGCCGCGCATCAGTACTGAAATGGTGAGTAGAATATTCTGATGACGACTTGAAACAAAGGCTACGAAGGTCTCGTGCTAGGGTGAAATCGCCTGATAACAGCGACGATAAGAAGTTGGAAGCCGTGTTTCGGTAGGCGGTATTGTTTCAAGGGGAAGAAGTCGCGACGGCGAGACTTACCTCGATCCAGGCTTCATCCTTCGCGTCGGTATCATCTTTAGATTTACCACTGCCGTTAACGGCCTGTCGTTTGCTAGGAGGGGCCATGTCATCAGCGCTGCTCATAGCAGGACGCTTACGGTCCTCCATCTTGATGCGAGTCGATAGAGGCGCAGTTGTAGGCGAAGTGGACAGAGGCATCAGAATGAATAAATTGAATGGGATAGAAAAATCTAGTTATAGAAGGCGTAGAACAAACGAGAGGCGGGAAACGGGAAACGAGAACCGGGAAAGCGAACGGATCGGCGAAAAGGAGGAGTTGCAATAAAATGGAAGGCGAAGTAGGCTTGAGAGTGCTCAAAAAAATAAATAGTACAAGTGCCTCCCCGGGTGAAAATTTGTATGCTGACCCAGAGGTAGCTAGAGAAAAGCGTGCCTTTCGCGCCGATAGATGCAAACTGTCGTCAAGGAAATGGGTGGAAAAGTAATGGGAGGAAGAATGAGCCTGGGCTCCAGGAGTTGTAGAACGAAAAATCGAAGTCGAAATCGAGAAAAGCCACAGAAAGGCCCACTAATCTGAATTGGGACAGGCAAGAAGCGTGCCTTCCCAGTCAAAACACAGTCAATAGTTGCTAGGTCTTGATAACAGTCAAACAGGCCTACAGATTTAGAACGCCTACCGGTAAAGCGGTGGCCCGTGTGCATGCGCGTCTCTTTCCTTCCAGTTGAACGTACCTATATCCACTAAAAAGAAGGTACCCACCAACCCCACCCAAGTATTTCTCTTTCTCAAATCACTTAACCAAATACAACTCGATTCCTTTTTGCATCTGAACAACTTCGACAAGGCACACACATATCCGAGTCACCAATTAGAATTGCCAATTCTGTCATCAAGGAGGAGGGTTTGAAAATTATCGACAAGGCAATGCGCAAGATAATATATCAGGCATAGTAACCGTAGGCATCAGCAGCCATGAGTTCTATGCTGAAGAAGACCGGAGGCTTGTCCTTCAAGCCAAAGATCGCTCCTCGTCGACCAGGTGGTGCTCCCTCGTCATCGCAAGCACCTCCCGCACCCTCATCGGCTAGCACTACGAGAGCTCCTACTACCGAGGTTCCCTCTCAAGCATCAACTCCCGCGCCTACCGTTCTTCCCACTCCCTCGGTTGAGTCATCTGGTCAAGCAGAACCACCAAAGGAAAATCCGAAAGAAACTCCTAGAGAGACGCCGCAAGTTGAATCGGAGCAGTCAACCCCTCCAACTCGACAGGATCCTGTAGTATCTACCACGTCTAGGCCAACTCCGCCCTCAACAGCTTCTTCCGCAGATGTCGAAATACCATCAGCACCAACGCCAGCACCTACTGAGAGAGTTACTGCCAGAGCAACGGTAGCGGCGCCAGCCCCGACCGCAGATGAGTCCCCACAACAGTCGCCTTCGATTTCGATCTCGCCTCCTACCGACCGACCAGCACAACCGACGCCAGCACCAGAAACCTCAGCGTCAGGAACTCTAGCGGCTACTGGTCTAGACAAACCTACGCCTGATACATCAGCTTCTGTTAGCTCGGGACCCGCTGTTACGACACGCACATCAATACCACACCCATCCGCTTCCATACAGAGTCGACTTGCACCGCCCACCGCGCCTCCATCTCCTGCCCCCGTTCCCGACACGATTGCTGTCTCTGCCCCGACTGATGAACCTGTCACTGCTGCCCCGAAGCAGAAAAGGGTGTATCGCAAGCGCAAGACTGCTACGGGTGATGATACTGCCGCAGAGGGTCCTGCGCCAAAGAAGAGACGTCCTCGCAAGAACCCCCCCGCCGAGGGCAATGAAGCAACGACAGCGGAAGGAGCGGAAGGAGCGGAGGGGGCACCCCCAGTCAAAAGGGCATATAGACGTCGCAGACGTTCATCTACTCCCGAGGACCCCGAAAGTCAAGTAGTTAATCACAGTATGATGAAAATGGCAGATTTGACCAAGGATCTGGGAATTGGCAAAAGGTTCAAGCATGCAGAAGCTATAGAGGAGCGCGCGCGACAAGCACGTGAAAAATTTCGCCAGAAGAGACTAGCAAAGCAGAGACAGATTATGGGAATTCCTCCCGACGGAGAAGAGGCCTCTCGTGCTAGCACTCCCGCGGAAGGCGAAGAAAACGGAAGAGAGTCAGCAATTGCGCGAGCTAGGAATTTGGGTGCCTCAGTCGATGCAGGCGCACAGTCTGTCGGCTACGAAGTTGTAGACGGTCAAATTATTATCAACCAAGAATCACTTGTGGTAGATCGACATGCAGCGCACCGAGACATGTCGTCCCTCGAGACCGTTGAAGAAGACGAGTTTTCCCACTTGACTACCTCGGCCTCATTTAGACGTGAGAGCCGCAGAACAGGCGCGAATCATTGGACTGATGAGGATACCGTAAGCCACTTCCCCTTTTCTTCTATGCAAGAAAAAGGGATAGCACTAACGCCTTCCCAGGAACGCTTCTACCGCCTCCTCAGCATGTTCGGTACTGACTTCGAGACAATCGCAAGCATGTTCCCGGGCAAAACCAGACGCGCCGTCAAGCTCAAGTTCAACCGCGAAGAGACCCAGCGCCCGCGCCGCATCAACGCCGCGGTCATGGTCCGCGGCGAGAAGCGCGTCGGCATTGATCTAGAAGAGTACAAGGCCCACCAGCCCGAGTGGCGCGAGAGCGACGCTATTCTTGCCGAACACGCTGAACTCGTCCGCGAGCACGATGAGGATATTAGACGCCTGAGAGAGGAGAGGCGTGCGGCAGGGTTGATTGATGATGATGAGGTCGAGGGACAGGGACAGGGACAGCAGCAGAGTGGAGAGAAGCAGCAAGATAACGGCCAAGGGGTTCAGGGGAGCGCAGGGGGAAATAACCCATATGCAGTCACGGAGGAAGTGGTAGTTGAGGGTTAAAAGGGGGTGTGTGTATGGATGAGTAACTGGCCCGAGCAGCAACACTCGCAAGCTTGTTTTTGATACCCCATTTCCTTAGCTTGCTTGGTTGCTTGCTTACACGAGCCAGGCAGACAAGACACACGATCTTGTTGAAAGATCAAAAGATCAAAGGTCAAAGGGTGATTTACAGATTATCGGCGTAACGGACTACAAAAAAAAAGGGGGGGGGAAGGAGCAAGGCGGTCTCCGATGGTATTGGTAGCATTGGCGAAGACATATTCTACGGCTTTAGCTTGGCTTGTGTTTTTCTCTTTCACTTCTACACTTGCGTTTACTACGGCCTCTTTAGGGCTAGTTAGTTTAGATATGTTTATGATCACATAGCAGATTTGAAGGCAGCGATCGCTAGCATGAAGCATCCATTGCGATTAGTTGCACAATGAGGAATTCATATTACATCTTAATTACGTCGCAAATGCATTGTGTCGTATCACTTCGTCAAAGTAGAAAAACTAGCCATACAGCGCAAACGCAAACGCAAAGAGGCAAATTTTGGGAAATCAGTATGTAGAATTCGGAACTAAGCTACGGACTCGGTTCGTCTAACCATCGTTTTCCTCTTCATATTCCTCGCGGAACGAACTCGCCGTCCACCAAACTGGGATGCCTCGGCCCTAAAGTACGGGTTTCAGGATTGGGTAGTTCGGGGGTGGGAAAATTCGTGAGACCCATGGCCGTGTACGTTAATGGAGTCTTTCAGAGTGCCTCCTCCCGACAGAACAAAGCATTATGGAGAGTGAATAATAGCCATTAACAGAGGGGATGGTGTGATGGCGCAAGGGTGAGGCGCCACACCGGATATCGTGAGGGGGCGTAAGAGCGTGAGACGAAGATGACATAGTAAGGCGAGTATGTCGATCAATTCTGAGGAGGTTCATCGTCTTCAGGCTGGTCGAACAAGAAATTTGCGGCCAGCTCCTCGTTCTTATCACAGGCGAAATAAGCCTGGATCGCTGCGTCTCGGTCGAAACCCAATCGGCATAGCTGGACTTAAATTAGCTTTCCACATGACATGTACACTCGTAGGGTAACTACATACTCTCTCAATGGCATCGCGCTCTTCTTCCGTGACGGAAATGGTCTGGGCACCAGGAGGCAGAGGTGCATCATCATCGCCAGCTTCACCCAACAGGTTCAGGAACTGTTCGGGGTTCGAAGAGATCAGCTGCGCAAGCTGAGGGTTTCCGGCACCGAGTTGCTGCAAGATGGGCTCGAGCATCTGGGGTTGCTGTTGAACCACCTGTCTAAGCTGCTGGAACTGAGCGTTGTTACGCAGCCAGTCCAGGTTACCTAGAGTTTGGCCACCGGCTCCGGCTCCGGCTCCGGCTGCGGCGGCGGCGGCGGCTGCAGCTGCAGCTTGGGAAGAACCACCAGCTCCTCCACGGCTACCTCCTCGGCCCTGTTGCGCAGCTAGATCAAAAAGGTTGACATCACCTCCCTCGCCCTCACCTTGGGCCGGCTGGCTGGCGGCGACGGCAGCAGCAGCGCCGGTTGCAGCTTGAGCGGGAGCTGCCTCATGCTGGGGCTCTGGTTGACGAGCAGTTTCCGGAATACCCTATATCACGTCAGATGGGAAACCCGTAGTCGATCACTGCACTTACGTTCAAGAGGTACTCGACGGCGCGATCTGGGTTGTAGAAAGCGGCACGCAAAGCAGCCTCGATTTGAGAGCGCTCGAATCCCATGGCCTCCATATTAGCGATCACGCCAGCTCGGGCCTCGCCCATAGCCATGGAGTTGTCATCGTTACCACCAGCAGCAGTAGCAGGTGCAGGCGACGGCGTGGCCGGCACCGCAGCGGCGGCGGTAGATGAGTGGGTAGGTGCGGCCGGGGCAGCAGGAGTTGCAGCGACGGATCGGGCGGGCGTCTCGGGTGGAGCGCCAGATGAAGAGGCTGCGGCAGAGGCAGAGGCAGCGGGGGCGGCCTTGGGCTATTGATTATTAGCAAGACCTCATAGACCTAAGCTAGCACGGATGCGACAACATACCTTGCTCACCATGCAAACAACATAGCCCTTCTCCTCAATCTTGTGGGCCGCGACTGTATCTTCGTCCTTGAGGATCTTGCCTGTACCCAGGTTAGCATTCAGGTAGCTAGGGCATATATCCGATTGTAGCACAGATGCAACAGGAAAGCGAGAACGTACCGGAATAGATGAGCTTCAGAGCCTTGGCATCCCATCCTTTCTCTTCAGCAACTCTCTGCTTCAAGGTAGAAATCTTGATCCCAGTTAGAATACGATATGTCGTGGTGAATCACGGAGTTTAGGTTGGGGGGAGTGATGGTCGGCGATAACATGACGACATACAAGATCAGTAGGCTCTATGTCAAGCGTGAACTTTTGGTTCGAGAGCTCCTGTAGAGAGAGTAAAAAGTGTTAGCATGTTCAATTACAAATAAGGCTTGGGATAGATAGCAGTTAAAGCCAGGCGTGAACACGTCCTGGCATTAATATGCGATGCTTACCTTGAAGGTGACCTTCATGGTGGCGGCGGCAGGCAGCTTCAAAATAGCTGCGACTAGGATTTACGATAACAGTAGTGGGAGGCAAAGAGGGGTAGGAAGGCTGAGCTGGCCGAAGAAAAAAATATCCTGGGCGATCCTCTAGTATGGTGCGGAATGTGGCTAAAAACCTGGGGAGTTTCGGAAGTTTTGTGGTTTAACCAGAGAAAAAAAAAAGAAACTGGTTTTCGGTGGAAAGCAACGGGAGTAGAAAGTCTGATTTGAGTCTTGAATTTCAGGTAGCAGTTTATGATGTGTCGCGGCGGGCAGTGGCGGCGGCTAGCGCTGCTGGGCCCGCCGGCTGGTCATGCTTACCACATGTGTGCACACTGGAATTTTAGGTAATGCCTGCTTACGTACATAAACGTACCTGCCATGGATGTGTTACCCGCTAAATATGCGGGGTCCAATTGGTGGGGCTAGCTTAAATACTAGGCCTGATGGCAGATGCTACCTAAACAATCCTCAACCCAGTGCAAAGAATCACGAAGTTTCTTATTTCTTATTAGAAAGCAGAACACTGCCAAAACCAAAACCAAAACAGTACGAGACGTAGTTTATTCATATTGACTTATTTGATTACAAGTCAAGTTGAGTTGTGAACACACGTCTCTATTATCAACTCTATTTTATATTGTCTTGTCTTTTCCAAGTTCTCAATGAGCTCAATATATCATATATCATATATCATTTGAATAAGACCATCTAAAGCACATTCACAGTTGTTCTACTCGTATCAGATAGTTTCACACTAGTTTATTTATTATTTTTACTTATTTCTCACTTCAAGATCTATCTTCTATCTCCTCGCATTCATAAGGAGATACTGATAAAGCCCTTTCCAAGGTTGAGAACGTAGTTGGTTCAACGCCGCGCTAAAAAAAAGACAATGGTATCTTCTAAGTCCCCCAAACCCAATTCCACGTTCCAAGGGCTCTCGAATAAAGAGTCCTGAGTCATATTCATCATCATCAGTAGTAGTCATGGATGCCATCAGTGGGTGCTTGAGGTCTCTTCTAAAACCTCACGCTCCCGCTATTTCTTGACCTGATAATCGGTCAAGCTTGTCGTTGATCCGGCATTCAGAATCCAGTCAGGAATCGGCGGCGTCATTTTCCTCTCTACAGCTAGATCCTCTACACGAAGGAGATCCGTATTATGGCTCGGTGTCTTCCGGAAGCTGTCATAACTGCCTTGCCGGCTAAGGGGCCCGGAGCCCGCTATTAGACTGCTACTACGCATTTGAGTGAGAGACTTCTCTGATATAGTCTGTCCTGCATTGGGCGCTGCAATAACCACCGTTCCAGGAGTAACCGCTGGTGGTGCTGGAGAATCAGATCGGAAGAGCGGATGAATATGTAGCTCGCCCGATATGGATTGAGGCGTCATGCTACGCTCGTGTTGTGGCGGCCTGGGGAGCGGGCTATAGCTCCGGCTCCTGCGATTGCGGTTTATATTTGGAGGCTCGAAGTCCAGAGCGTTTCCAGGGCTCGGGCTTCGACTGGTTGTCGGGCTCGCAGGAATGGTTTCCAGAAATCTACCTGACCGGATGGGCGGGCTTGTCTCCACGATTAATTGCCGGTTCTGGGTATCGACTGAGGACGTATCCCAAGAATCAAAGCCATCCTCCGAAACAGTCACGCTCATTCGCTCTCGATAACCGTTTGAGTCAATAGAAGCAGGGCGGCGCCCAGTTCTTGAACCCGAGGAAAGCAACCTAGTATGAGCTCCAATCGGACGTACGGCCTGAGAAACAGAGGTACGGATTGAACTTATAGTCTCAGCCATCGACTTGCCAGCGCTCGAGCCCGGTGGCGTTGGATAGTCCGTCAGTGTCCGCTTGCCTATCGTAGTCTGACTCGTAGCAGGCACCGTTCGACTGTAAGGAATAGATTTTACATGCCTCGGCAGCTGTCGAGAGCTATCTTCATTAGTGTGAAGTGATAGCGCCTGCTCCGAGTCGGGTAGCCGGTGGACGACAAAATAGACGACGATAAAAGCGAGCTGTCCCACGAAAGCACTAACAAGTGCGATTGAAGTTCCGATACGCCAGTTCGTCAATGGCGTTTGTAATATCGTTTGAGGTAATCCCACTGGTCTTCCCAACGTAACCAGCGTCACAACTGACGCAGCCGATGCCAATACACTTGCAATAACCCCCGATGCGAACCAGATCCCATTAGACTTTCTTCTACCAAACTCCATTCCCCGTCCAACACATTTAGCAAAAAGGATAATTAGCAATATCAATATTATTATTTCGAACGCTGAGGCGACAATTGCAGCGAATTTAGCTGGGGAGGATGATCCCCAAAGCCCTTGAGCTACGATTACTTGAAGAGCCAGGATAGATGCCGTTGCCAATAGAGCAACGGCACCCAGAGAAGCGCTGACAAGAACAGCTCTTGCCATATTGAAGCGAATGTCGTGGATAGAATCAAGCGTAGGCTAACACATAGAAGTTCAAGCCTGTTGTATCGAAATAGTTCAATAGTCCAACACCTCTAGATCGTCTAAGACAAGTCGAATTATGCACGTAGACGCACTAAAGGTCGATGTATCGGTTAGGGGCAGCGAGGCCCACTACCGTCCAAAAGGCCAGCAGCGAAGTCAACACAAGCTAGGCTTGTCCTCAATCCTACTAGTTAAGGTTGAGCGAGAGATGCAAAGTTAAGGCCTCAGTAGATTGAGCCTCTCGTCGATGAGGTTCGAACTGGAGGCTAGCAGAATACTCCGGATGATGATTCCCCAGGTTGAATACCGATATAACGGTAAAGGGACCGGGCCGCTGCGTGTGTAGGAGCAGGATGTTCCAAGACAAAAGAATTGGCGGTCAGGGCAGTCGATAGCCGTGTCCGCACGTCGTTAGTATATAGTAGATGCAGCAGACCAACCGGGATATACATGAGGCGATGTGTCCCGGAAAGATGCAGAACCTCTTTGATGGGAAAAGGAGAGGGTCTATTCGCCGGGCTAGTAAAAGCAAAGCAAAGACCCAAGCAAGTTTAGGGCAAACGAGTGACGGGCGTAAAGCCGTTGATATGTAGTGTATGTATAAGCGAGGGAATAAACGGGAAGGAATAGAGATGACGGAACCAGGTGGAGGCCGGTAATACCGGTCGACCTAGTCCAGGATCTAGCGAGGAAGAGGAAGAAAATAAAATATCAGTTGTAGGTTCGTCCGGTCTGAGTTTAAGGATAGGACAGGACGAGATGATAGAGAGGCCGGAGTCGAGAGGGGCTTGTTCGCTATACGACGGACCAGTCAGAATAAAAGCAGAGAGCCGGTTGGACGCGTCCTGAGGAATTGTCGCGTATGTTGGTGTAGGTAGTATTGAATGCACACAACACATACATAGGTATATATGACCCTTGTATATTCCCGTCCTTTTGGGAACCCTTTTTTTTCTCTTTCCTCCTTGGAGTTGTTGGCAGGGGTATGCAGGTATATGCAGGTATAGCAACCTATCACGAACGCGAGACAGCCGGGAGACGATCCCGTATCTGCCCCTCCTTAAGATGGCTAATGCCACTCAGCAGGTAGGACTGAGTGGCAGGTAGGAATCTACCGTTGGACAAGACCACGGATAGGCTGACAGGATTCGTGACTAGCTCACTCCGTTGGGCTGAATTAACCAATATGATTTGCAGCTCCGAACTTCTAGTGTAGGTATGATACTGGGAGAGAAAGGGTTTCCCTGGTGTGGATCGATCTTAGTCCCTGTTTTATTCAGCCCCCACCCTCTTTTTTTTTGCCTTCTCTCGTAAACGTTGCTTCTTTTGGCTTCTTTCCGCCTTCGACCCTTTGAATCTCAAGCCTCAATTCCCCCTCAAATATCGATGGCGCTATGGTCGTTTCAATTAGAAACCACGTCTTTCCTGACAAGCCTTCTAACGACCTTAGTTCGTGTTCCGGGTTTGATAGTTGAGTAGGTTGACACCAGACAGGCGAAATTTGTCCGAGGTACCGGACTTTTCGTCAATCGCCGCGGCAGTAGAAAAAGAATGCAGGTACTGCCGTATTCCGTATTCAAGGACGAATGGAATGAAGCTTGTGAGTGATCTACTCAGCCTGCTTACCCAATACGGAAGGATCGTAAGAATGGCAGCGAAGGAATATGAAAAAGTAAGCTTGTCTGACCTTCGACCTGAAGCCAAGAGAAAGAAAGAAAGAAAAAAGGAGTAAAAGAATAATAATAAAAGTTTTCAAGGCGAACAACGTTGAGCGGATATAGCTTCGTCTTATTAGTAGGTATTATTGTTATTGTTATTAATACATACTGTTGCTTAGTGACTAATAGCTACAGAAAAGTTCGTGGTTTTCTTCAACTTGGCTAGGAAAAGCCCCGGTAACATCGGTTTGATGATATGGGTCCGTGAGAAATCCACACGCTGGCGTGGCCTCGCGGTCCTTTTCCACCTTAATTAACGGTACACTACGGAGCCTCTTTGAAAGCTGGCAGCAAGCCCTAAGATCGTGCTTCTCCACCTTCTTGCGCATCTAGTTGGTATTCCGATCGTGATCCAGTCACTGATCACGATGGATTGTCGTTTCATGCCAGGGACATGGTTGTTTGCTTTGGCTTCGTCCATTAACTGTCTACTACGTATTCTCATACCAGCCACATTTTTTCCCAACTTCGTATCCATTCCTAAAGAACTCGTAATAGGGACAAGCCCAACAAACTAGGGTTATCATATCAGACTGGTGATATGACGCTTGGATAATTCCTCAAGCTGTTACGAGCTCATACAAAACAGAAGCAAGAATACTGGCGTTTCCCTAGCTGTGTTCCCGCTTCCCCGGTAAGAAATATACAGTTCCCCGCCCCATGGCTGTTTCATATGTACCGGTGGGATACTGGGTTCGTGATAACTACCTACCTACCTACCTAAGGTACCTAACTTATCATGACAATAATAATAGAAGACAGTTCGTGAAAAAAAGAAAAGACGACATAATCCTCAACAAAATCATGAACGAACTGAATATGGGCACCGAATATTCCATTGGTACCACGGCATGGCGACATCAGAATGATGGCGGTGATAAATTCGACTTATTAATAGAGCATACGAAAATACTTTGCATATGCAAAATGCAAGGGAGGGAAGAACTGGGGGGTTGCTGAGGATCCTGACGATCAGCGTTGCTACACCATCTTAGCCCGACAAGGAAAAACAAAAGAATAATCTCCGATGCGACAAATTACGCCAATGAGCTTCTAGACTATTCGAGCCCAGAGCCACGGCTGGCAAAGGTCCGCCTAGCTTGGCTTGCCTTGGTTGACCCAGATTTCTGACCGCCGAATCTGCCCTAACTATTATCTTGACTTGATAACTACCTCAAGAAGATACCGTCGTCAACCTGGCTGCCTGTTTAATCACATTCCGAGGTCTTAACCCACAACTATTTCTCTGAATGCCTTCATTGGACAATGGGTATAAGCCGGTGTAATAGCTAACTCGATGCTACGGGACCAAGGATCATCCATGCGGAACCCGACGTCCCCTCTTATATAGCCCTTCGCTCATCGGCATGCCGGCAGCATCGTCTCGGGATGCTAAACTAACGCGGCATATTTTACATAACTAGTTAGTATTATACCAAGGTATGCCGACGAGGGGCATCTACATACGAAAAATCAGGACGCATACCGTATCACGCATATCTAAGATCTAGTTATTTCTCCAAGATATGGGGAAATTACGGAACATGATGAAAGGATGTATCCACCACCTGAGGAGGACGCAATTTTTGATGCTGCAAACCCAGTACGGTGATTCCTATTACCAAGCAAATCCCGAATGACGACATACTACGGTCTGGTTCTCGAGATCTTCACGCTCAACAGCTCTAGCCGGAGGGGTAAAGGCCGCAGTAGGTCCACCGCCGACAGACGGTCAACGCCATGCAGGATGTCGACGGCGCCACAAGTCGATGTATGTATGTATGTATGTATGTATGTATGTATGCATGTATGTATGTTTCGCTAGCAAGCCCCATCACCGAGGAAGACCTCGTGGGGTTTGCATGCCCTATACACCATGTCTCTTAAACCCGCCCCCCTTGGTGCCAAATTTCTAAGACATATTATCTACAGCACGTGTGTAATGCAGTGCGGTTTCTCGCCACACTAAACCGCATCCGGCGCTCCGGGTTTCACTTCTTGATCCAAGATCGCGAGATGATCTGAGCCTCAAACCAGGAACACATATATACATACATACCTAACATATGTTGGGTACATACGTCAAAGACTTCGAACACGAGCCCCCCAGCCCTCCCCAGGCCTCGCGGGCTAGCAGCCCTACCTAGGCCCACCGTCATTTCGCTTTGCCATGTCCTCCGCAGCGCTAAGGGTTTCGTCGGTCTGGACTAAATGCACCTGCATAAGCTTCTCTATGTAAAGATGGGCTAGGTTGTGTCTTTTTTCTTTTTCACCGACGTTGTGCGTTAGTTAGGGCTGCGGCAGTGCAAAGATGCTATGTGCGCTAGATGATTGTAGGATGTAGGGCAGGTATGTAATTGTCATTGATATTCGAAAATACCTCTCTCGAGTCTCCCTAGTGTATATCCATACCCATGTATTTATCTGTATTTGTATGTGTATGTGTACCTAATGTATGTGTAAACAGTCTTCCCAATATAGTGGGAAAGTAAACAAATACTCATAGCAGCGGTTTCATATAAGCCAGGAAAACCCAGCGAATTCGGCCCAAGCTTAACAAAAGGTAATTTAGCAGTCAATGCTGCCCATTCGAATCTCACCAGCCCAGGACAAATTTCCCCGGGGCCGCGGGATGTTCTTCGCGGCCACGTTTCGCATTTCCCCATCGTCGCTGTGTCGTCGCGTCGAGTCAAATTTCCGAACGCTCCGTCGGTGCTAATCAGATTCTAGCCTAGCATACGATCCTTCCGGCGGGAATCCTTCTACCTGACATATTACTGTGCCGTTGAAGAAAGAAAAAAGCACAGCTGCGCTTTGATTGGCTTCGCATGGGACAGTTGGTTGCAATTTACTTACTATGAGGTTAAGTGTAGGCATGTATATATCAGCTAGGACTTTTCTGCTAGGTACTACGGGAGGAATCCCGCCATCGCACCATCAAACTACATACTACTGCTGTGCGACGGCAGAAAATCTGATAGATCAAAATGCGCTGCGGTGGTACCTTGCAGCGGCAGGAATCGAGTGCGTTCGCGAGGGCTGTTTCATGTGGGCGATGTCGTGCTTCGTAAAGCATGGACCTACTCACAGTGTAGGTATTGAACGTTGTACGAAATACATTACGTACTTGTATGCAAAGAAGATGGCGGGGTTAGGCTGTGAGGCTGGAGCTGATATACCTATCTCATTTCGGTACCGAGGGTTTGTTTCTGCTCGGCCAACAGCACGCCTCTTGGACTGGGGTAGCTAAGGATATATGGTAAGTCTCTTGCATCAGTTTGGTCCCTTTCTTCCCTCTGGCATGTGATATCTCTAGTTCTTTCAGTAGTCGCCTTTAATAAAGTGGTATTATCAGAGAATCAGTTTAAATATCTAGGGAGGAACCTTAGAAAATTCAATAATAGATTTTTAATGCCAGTACATCCGGATCTATTCGCATACAATCAGATTCCTTATTACACCTAATGGCACAAAGCCACTTCGCTTTGGAATTTTACAGGTTATTATCATCCCTAAATGAGAAGAGATAGAGAAGAGGATAGGGCCAGGAGATATGGTAACATGGGAGGAAGATGATATCAATAGTTTGATATCATTCATACAGATGCACTAGAGGAATGTACAAGGGAAAAGAAGAAGAAGTGAACTGGAACGAACAAGTAATTCCAGTAGTAATGAAATACGCCGAGAGTGCCACGGCTTTTACCACGATTTGGGTGTTGTTGAAATAAAAGTTATATTTACTACACATCAGGTACGTGGGCACAATTAAACCTAGGGAGGACAATAACAAGACGAAAAGAAAAAGAACAGAACCGGGCTGACAAGTAATTTGGACAGAGATGAACTCCTACCTCTACCACTTGACTCAGTTCATATCAGCTTCTAGTTTATTAAGATATATAATCTTCATCTCACATGTCTGGTATAGGTTAAGAAGCAGAACTAGGAATTGTTAAGAGGTTTTAATAGTGGATAAAGGGTTCAGAAGTAATCTCATCGTTTACACTACTTGACTAGGTTACCTAGGTAGTTTGTGGGAGACTGCTTGTTGTTGAATAATATGTCACACCAGGCACACAGCCTCGAAAAAAAAGCAAGAACACAATAAGAAAATACCTAGAACTCCAACTTAATAGTTGATAGCTTAATAGTAAATGAAGGACTTATAAGTAATTTTAGCAATTACTACCCAAACCACTTAGCCACCAGTTGAAGTATGAATATTTACATTTCATTACGACTTATAACTGTCACGTTTCCATGTCAGGTATATATCTATATCTACAATTTATCCTTGACCAACTGGTCCTCGTATAACGCAAGCATATGGTGACTGGATGCATCTTGGATATCACATGTGCTTGCAGCTCTATCTTAGGAGGTAGCTATTGGTTGCTTGACTATATCGGCTATGCCAAATCACCTACTGCCTCTTCACCTTAACTTCTGCCTTGACAATTATTCGAACGTCTACCGTGATATCTTTATATATGTTGGGTTTTAATATTTAAGTAGACTTGGTTGTCTCCCCCCCTTCCCCTTTCCTTTCTACTAGTTAATATGAATGAATGATCTATCCATCGGCTATATCGGTTTGCGTCTTTAAGAGCTCCTTGCGGTTGAACTTATATGTTAGGTACTTAACTATGTAATTTCATAAGCTACGTAACGTCTGAGGCTGTTATGTATTCTGTATAGTGCTATTGAACCGATTCATAAAGCACCTTCAAGTCATCAAATTACACCTAAGACGTATTAATTCGCTAGACAATATTTCTAAGTTGTTATGGCGTAGCTATGAAAGTGAGTGTCAGGTTACAGGGATGAAAGATAGTTAAGTAACGTAGTAAGAGATTACACTAAACCTTGCTACCTACCGGCCAGTCACAGGATAAAAGTATATATATAGGGAGCTGACGTTTCCTTTTGGTTTGTAAAGAGGCAGGCGTTAAGATATCTTTCAATATAATGCAGGCTTGGGCTATATACTAGCCAACCACCTGTCACTCTGTGGATGGTATAACATACCAAGGGTGATCTCTGACAGTGAGCTAGCTACTAAGTGGTACACGAAACTGCCCTTTATTTAAACTCTAACTCGTATGATAAAGCTTAAAGGTTTGCCGAGGGACTTAAAATATGAATCACGGATTACGATGTTTAAGATCTACCTTGGGCGTTATAACTTATTGGCTCGTTGTTTCAAAATAATCCAATTCTTTCAGCAGTCGTCTCTCCCGATGCTGGTTGTACTTATGTATTAGTATCAACTAGACCAACTACATGACTTTAGTAGCTAACACTTAGGCAAATACTATAGTAGTTGAGTAATGTTTTAAGATAAAGCCGCAGCTACAATCCCCAGGCAAGACGAGCAATAGTGTTAATAGAAAGTGGCTATTTCTATTTAAATAGTTACTTTATGACAAGAGAGAAAAGTAATAACAAGCACTTGCTATAATAGTCTTTTATAGACATAATCTGAGGTATAGTAGAATCTCCATTAAAAATAACCTAGAGGTTCTTGCGTATTAATCAAGAAGATTTATCAAACAAGCTTAAGAGGTGTGTTGTTGAAATAGATATAATAGAAGCAAGCATATTAACCTCTCCTTTATTATAACATAGCCCACCCAGTCCAAACTGCATACTAAATGCAATCAATTCGCTGAGTGTCACGAGGTGGAACGAAACAGTATGGAAACAACTTCGTTGTTCCGCAAGGAACTCTAAACTACCTATGAAGATCTATCGTCTATACATACTGAACAGTTCCTTTGTTCTAGATGTCTCATCTAGAATCCTGACACTGAGTATGTTGCATGCATATAACAGCCGCATAAGCACAACACCACCGACAACCCGGAAATGCAGCTTACTTATATATCGTGCTTGCTGTTAGTGACATAGATAATGCGCACTGGCACGAGTTATATGCACCTTTATCTTTCTATCACTTCTCCAAAAAAAAAACCCCCAGAAAAAACCTGCCCCTCTCCAGAAAACAGAAATACTTACAAATATCTACCTCAATTCGTAAAGATAACATTCCCATTCCCTCATCCTAACATTAAAACATCGGCTTCCAGCAGCGATGTCGGGAAGCTGATTAGTGGATACGCGCTTAAGGGTATCGAATTGATATCGCATGGACCTTCCGGATTCTGCAATTGCTAATTCGAGCTTTCTCAGCTTCTCCAGGAGCCGGGACGCTGGCGCTCGGCACGGACCCGGATCTGTTCGTTCGCGTTGCGGGGCCAGGAACCAACGATAGGACGAGAAGGGGCATCATTACGTAAATAAGTACGAAGTATAGACCGGATATCGCTGACGTAATTCGCCAACGACTCATTGTCCAATCACAGAGCGTTGTAGAGGACCCCGCAAAGCTTGGTTTGCTGGGATTCGGCCGCTGCGAAACGATAAGAAAGCTTGATAGCTGCAAGCTTTATTATGCTCATCGAGTCCCTTCCTTTGAAACCCCGTTAGTCCCTCGAGCTTCTCTTTCTTTGTTGTTGAGGGTAGAGAAATTCCCGTGGAAGTGGAATAGAAGACCAATTAGTTATACCCCTTTGTTGCTTATCTCTCTTGTGATCTGGGCTTAGTGAGAGCCCAGTCCGGATATATATATATATATAAAAAGATGGGTGTTCTTCGCCACGGAGTCGCCTTACGACCCCTCACTACTGTTTCGAGATCTATGTCCGCTGCGTCGATATCGAGACAATCTTTCTCTCGGACTCTAAGCCGTCAATTCTCCGTGTCTAGCACTAGGATGGCTTCGAGTTATCTTCCCGGCGAGCCAGAGCGCCCCGTCGTGAAGACGGATATTCCCGGTCCGGTATCTAAAGAGTACATTGCCAAATTGACTCAGGTCTTCGACACCCGGAGTTTGAACATGCTCGCCGACTACACCAAGAGCGTTGGTAACTACATTGTCGATCCGGATGGAAACGCCTTGCTAGATGTGTAAGTCTTCATAAAATAATTATCATTTATCTCACTCGGTAGAAGCTAACCATTGATTATCAAGCTACGCTCAAATTGCCTCGATACCTGTCGGGTACAACAACCCGGTTTTGAGGAAAGCCGCCGAGAGCCCGGAGATGGTCACCGCACTAATTAACCGACCGGCTCTAGGTAACTTCCCCTCGCATGACTGGGCGGACGTCTTGGAGACTGGTATCCTGAAGGTAGCACCTAAGGGACTTAACCAGGTCTTCACGGGTATGGCTGGATCGGATGCGAACGAAACGGCGTACAAAGCAGCCTTCATGTGGCGTCGTCAACGCGAGCGTGGTGGCCCTGCCGTCGAGTTCACCAAAGAGGAGATGGAGTCGTCTATGCTGAATAAATCTCCCGGCGCATCTGAACTTTCTATCTTGTCCTTCAAGACTGCCTTCCACGGCCGCCTGTTCGGCACCCTCTCGACAACCAGGTCGAAGCCTATCCACAAACTTGACATCCCTGCCTTTGACTGGCCCCACGCTACCTTCCCTCAGCTCAAGTACCCCCTTGAGGAGCACGCCGAAGAGAACGCCAAGGCCGAAGCTGACTCTCTCGCTGAAGTCGAACATCTCATCAAGAACTACCACGTACCACCTGCCGCCGTAATCGTAGAGCCTATCCAATCCGAGGGTGGTGACAACCACGCCTCGCCGGCTTTCTTCCGAGGCCTACGCGCGCTAACCAAGAAGCACGGGGTCCTGCTAATCGTAGATGAAGTTCAGACAGGTGTCGGCGCCACCGGCAAGTTCTGGGCTCACGAGCACTGGGACCTCCCCGACCCCCCAGACATGGTGACCTTCAGCAAGAAAGCCCAGACAGCCGGCTTCTACTACGGGGACCCGACCCTGCGCCCCAACAAGCCGTACCGGCAATTCAACACGTGGATGGGTGACCCGGCACGTGCGCTGCTCTTCCGCGCTATCATCGAGGAGATCCAGCAGCACGACCTAGTCAGCAACACGGCGCGCGTCGGCGACTACCTCTTCGGCAAGCTGGAAGGGCTAGCTAAGAAGTACCCGGGCCAGTTCGACAACCTACGCGGCAAGGGCCAGGGCACCTTCATCGCCTTCGACAACCCGAACCGCGACGAGTTCCTCACGAAGGCCAAGAAATTCGGCGTGAATATCGGCGGCAGTGGCGCTACTGCGGTCCGCTTGAGGCCTATGTTGATCTTTGAAAAGCAGCATGCTGATATCCTGGTCGAGGCGCTAGAAAAGGTTGTCTCGAGCTGATTGGGTTGTGGGCTGTTGGCTTGTTGAACCGATGCGATGGGTTTCCTTAGACGGTCTCTGAACTACACGATAAACCAGAGGGGGGGGGGGATAATATGGCTGGGAATATGGATTGCTTGCGTGATTCGGACGCGTATGAATTTACGAAGGGAATGCGAGAGAGGGGAAAGGAACAGTGAAATGGGTGGATGGATGGATGGAGGTCATCCCGTCTCTCGGGAAAATGTGGTTATATTGATCCGGGTACTACTATACCTGCTTACCTTACCTTACCTTACCTTACCTATTTCGCTTATATCTGACTTGGTTTGGTGTACCTACGCGTTACGTAGGTGCTTGTCAGCTTCGCTATTAATGAAACGGATATTCGAGACGAATGTTGTTACACGCGAGAGGATTACTCAAGTTTGCGTGGGGGATGAAATATGAAAGCGCTTTGAATTGAATCGATACCGAGTTCGGTTGTCAGCTCGTCCCGTCATGGCAGTCAGAGAGAGGTAATAATGGTTATTATAGATTGCACATTGTGTGTTCTTTAGAAATAGTATAAACTCAAAGATTACCACCTACGTTCCGGCTTCGCTGGTAATCGAATTCAAAAGGCATGAGGTCGTTAAGAAACTTGGACTTCTTACGAGACCGGCAATATGCTTTACTATCGAAGCTCTGCTAGATACAAAGCACAACGTGTATTCGTAGGTCTTCAGCGAAGTAGAGACTTGCCACATCAGATAGACGCATAACAAAATCACTAGTCTCACTCATACATCGAAGACTCGCCTGCACAAGAAATTGCGAACCGAGGCTTTCTCGCGAAGAAAAACCCCTTTGTCCCTTTTATTGACAGGATGGATGATGGTATGGATCACCGGAGGTATATACTGGACCACGAAATCCGGCCTTCGCCTCCCTTCTCTATTATGGCACAAAGACCTGGCCCGACTATCGCCCGTCACCGTTACTCGTCGCTCCCAACTTGGCCATGCTGAATGAAGACTTTGAGAAGTCCGCATATTAGTGCGACATCCCCCCCCACCTGTTATCCTAAGTAGCCACGACAAATGATGTCTCCTCGAAGACCGAGCCTCATCCTTCCTTTGCTCTCCGGGGCTGTGCCCCTATTAGTCGACTGCGTGATATGCTGCCTCTCCGAAGTTAAAACACTCCTTTATTTGTGCGTTGCTCCGCGACCTGACGATGGTGGATGGTTGAATGCAATCAAATACAGCTGGTCCTTTACCGAACGCCACCGATGAAACCTGAACCCCTAAACCGCGTACTTTTTACCGGGAAAATGCAATCATAAACACCTCTGTATAGCATAATAAATAAAAACTCGAAGGAAACATATGACGCCCTTCCATAGAATCGAATTGAATCTGAATACCAGTGTGCGAGGTAATGAACATGAATGGTCGGTGATACATATCGTGCTTAGGACGATCGCTGAGGTTTATATAGGTAGGTATATTAAGGGGTGAGGGGTTTCCTGTAGATAGCCACTCCGCCAAACACCCTGATCGATAGGGCTGACTAGAAGTTGACAATAGACGACCTAGACGTGCTGGGTCATCAATGCAAGACATGCATCTAGATGCAGTTGCAGGCGCATCAGTGGCTCATCACCTCATGCTTCCTGGCACTGTGCTGTATCGCAGCTCCGTCTTCGCCGGCTGAGTCTAATCCACCGTTTGCGTTTTCGTGGGCTTGGGGGGGCCCTTCTGGGGTGATATGGCTATTGCCGTTTGCCAACTTATCGTGTTGCTCCCTTTCGAAAGCGAGCATATTAAACTCATTCTCTCGCTCAAGTGCCGCTTCTTCTTCTCGAAGCTTCTGTCGTTCCGCCTCGGCAGCTACACGTTGCGCTTCCTCCTTCTCCTCTAGTAAGCCGGCGTCCTGTTCTCCAAACATCTTATCCGGCTCACTCGCTACGTCCAACACAGCTTCACCGTCAAGTGGCGGAGGAGGCGGAGGGGGTGGGCTTGGAACATCACTCTCGTCCTCTTTAACGCGCTTCATCGAAGGAGTCTCAGAAGGGGTTAAGCTAGGTGAGCCGCACGCATCATCCTCGCGTTTTCGTTTACGATCGAGACTGTCGGGGGTCGAGCCCATTCCTTCATCATCCGTCATTACGATATCTTCATCTTTGGCTGTCGGCGTTGTGGCAGAATCGGCATCTTGACTTGCTTGCGAGTCGTGGTGCTCATCATTAGCTCGCTCGGTCTTCTTCTGCTCGCGAGCTCTATACTTCTCGACTGCACGGTTGAAAAAATCTTTGACATATTCTTTGACTTTCCTCTGTTGTTTTTCAGAAATTGAGGTCGGGTCATCCACACGGTTATTCTTATAATCCGATGCAACGAGCTTCTTATTGATCTCTTTGCTAAACTTCTTCAGGTCATCCTTGGGAAGCTTCTTATGGAACCTGTCTACGACGGATTTCACGTGAGGAAAAAGCTGTGTATAGTTAGCAGTCTAGTGGCGCAATACTGCCGTGCAACACAATGCTTACCGTATTCTCATAGATCTTCATTTGCTTTTCAATTGGTAGAGAACGCCACTTCTCCTTCTTGGGCTCTTGGGTTGGAGTGCTGGTCTGCGGAGTTTGCGACGCTGACCGCCTGGGCACATTTTCGGGTCTGGTGACAGAATCGATGATGTCTTGCAACGTTTTCTGCTCCTGTGCTGCCTTGGACGGTCCCTTGGGCTGCTGCGAGGGGCCTGACTCGGGTGGCGCTGTCGGCTTTTGCCATGTTGTAATACCAGTCCGAGTGTAGTAGTACAAGTTGCCACGCTTATCGGTGGCGGTAAACCAACCAGGAGGGAGGTTCTGGGCCTGAGGACGCCGAAAACGCTGGTTATTAAAAAAATTGGGATTTCGTTGAGGAATATTACTTCGTGGACCCTTGGGAATATTCTCAGGAAGGGTGAAAACAGTCTTGATAAGCGGCTCTTCGGGGCGATTTGCGCGACGTTCCTCAAAAGAGTTGACAGACTGTGCGTTAGCTGTTGATTGAGCATTAGGGTCTAGCTTTTTTCGAGGAATCCTGTATGCAACCTCCAACTTGCTCCATTCGTCTAGTAGCCGCGTAGCTTCTGCGGAGACATCTTCATGCTCCGAGCTTGTTAGCGGCTGAATAGTCGACTCGATCTTGGAGTCGGATATCTTATTTTTAGTCAGGCGAGGGAACTTGTAGAGGATATCAAGGACCTGAAGGACCACGTTGTTGTCATCCATGAATGTGTTTAGCGCGGTCTTGAGAATCTGATATCCGTGCATCTGCACAACTCGATTGCGCACCCGGTCATCATCAGAGCGTTGGATACGCTCGAGCAATTTGACTGCAATCCACTTCTCCTTGCACTGCATGAGCGTAGCCATGACCTTGGTGACATCCTTTTCATCCAGTCCGCGAGCTTGTACGCTATTAACGTACTCCTCATCGTCCTCCGTGATCTTCTTCTTGCGGGGCTTCTTCGCGACCGTAGTATCCCAGCCATCGGCATCATCAATCCCGAGAGCTTCGATGGTCGCGTCGGACAATTTCGTTGCCCGCTCGGTTTGTGTCTTGCCACCGATGAAACCAATACAGTTGGGTTCCCCGCAATAGCAGGGTTGAGGGTCGGCTCCGTACCTGTCCACGTTGTAGTTGAAAACGAGTTCTTCGCCGGGCTGGATCCTCCTAGAGGCAAATATGCCCATGCGAAGCTTGCTACCAACAACCCATTTATCTACATAGCAGTTTGGATTGCACGAGTGGTTGCAGAAGCGGCCTAGATTTCCCTTTTTTGTCGCGTCTACAAATTCATTTTTGGTTAGTGACATAAAGTAAAAATGGCGAATGCCTTCCTTGTCGTATTGGAGCATTCGCCTTCGGAAGGTCGGCTCGTTGATGACTTCTCCGATGTACTCGAAAATAAAGTCGTTAGCTTCAAGAGATGCGTTTGCTCGGAGACCAAAACCTTTCTTGTCGGTTCGAATTACTGAGACGTCAGCATACTGCTTGCGCTGGAAACGTTGGTTCTGGCACCCTTCGCCACAGTTGCAGTCACCATCGACACATTCCATTTTGGTGGCTCGATTGATGCAGTCTGAATCGTCGCCGCAGGCATGGTTCATGCCATCCCCTGAATAATCCCTGTCAGTGCTCTGTAGACATTACCAATGAGTTAAGATATGTAAGTACGTACGCCATTCTTCGCTGCAGTCACAATCCAGCGCGTCGTGATCTGTCGACCCAAGAGATTTAGAGCCGTATAGACAGTCCGGGATCAACTGGAAATGGCTACAAGACTCTGACGTAACGTCAGGTAGGTCGTTGAAAAGTTGAGCAGGTGGAGCCGCCATTTTGCGAGATGCTTTGCGAGCAAGTTTGGGCGGGTGCCCGTCAGGAGTAGATGCACTGTCACTGCGGTCTTTCAAATCGTCGGGGGATAAGCTCCCTGATTGGGAATCTTTGCTAGCATTTGGCGACGAAGCAGTACTATCGCTCTCCTTCTTCACGATAATCTGCTGCGAGGCGGGCGCAGTGTTGACGACGAGACTTTCTAAGCCATCCTTGATACGTTCCTCATCTTCCATGATGGCGAAAAAGCCAAAAGAGGCTCTCCTGTTCTATTGTCACAATGCACCAGGTAGCGGATGAATAGAATTGTGTTGAAAGATGGTGCAATTGGCTGGCTGGAGACGCGGCTGGAAGAGATAGATCGGATTTGATAGGCTGTCGAGGCTATCAAGGTTACGCGACTCCAATGTCTCGTTTGCGAACATGTAGAGAAAGGCGAGAAGGTAGGAGGGAGAGAAGTAGATTAGGGCGAAAGATGAGAGCGAAACTTAGGTGAGAGGGCGGAAGGTCGGTGCTATCTCGTGTACGGCGTCTGTGACATTGCAAGCGGATAATTCGCCAATTTACTTTCTTATCAAGAAGGCCGTGAACATGCGCCGAACAGGTAGAAGCAACAAGCCTTAGTGTCCAAGGTAGTTAGTTTGTTAAAGTTGTTGTGAGGATGAAAATGTCGTGACGGCGCTGTCATGGCCGAAAAAAAAAAGAGTTGCTTGCAGGTTGCGTCTTTCCCCCAAATCCCAAATCTCAAATGAGAGGTGCTGGAAGTACTCAATACACCCACTCCAGCCTGCAAAGCGCTGCACTGTACGTGAAAGCGTGGCGCGCCAACCTTTGTAAATTCGGGGGCAGAATTCAATTATCCGACGCCTACGGTTTATGGCCTCGTCCCACTATTTCGCACTAATCGCACTACATAAGCATTGGTCCTTAGCCCCGTACATATCCCGTATGTACATGCTCTGTACCAGTTTGGAGCTATGCAGTTATGTGGGTTGGCGTCGCAGCAGCACGATTGTAGAATAAACTTTAGGTAGTTTAGGTACGTATCTAATTATGTACCTACAAACCTTTGGTGAACCTTTAGTGAACCTTGACAATATTTTAAGTTAATCTCATTTCCTTTCTTCAAGGCTCTTGTTATTACCTTAGGTCTAACCTTGGGTATATGAGATAATGTACAATGCGTGATATGAGGTAAAGTTCCCAATAGCAGCTATGTAGATGCTTACCACATGCAGTATTGCAAAAT